GAGAAACAAATATTTTATAAATTCTCACCGAGTCATAGCACATTGGTGGGTGGGGGGATCAATTTTCTGAAACATTTTGAAGATCCTTCATATCTTGAGAGTTTATAAAAGATAATAAAGTTGTGATAAAGCCATCTACTTAAAAGATATTGTCATGGTGGCACTTGATTAGTAAATCAAAATTTGGTACTGCAAGAGTAGGGTACAGCTCTAACAGCACAAGTTTTAGAACTGAGTAATGAACAGAGGTTGGAAGAATTTTAAGAAGTCTAACAGTAGTAGTCTAAGCAACAGTTCCACTCTATTTGGTATGAATTATAATCTAGTCAACAGCAGTGAACTAAACCGAAACAATAAGAAGCTCAACACAACCACTATGCCACCGAGGCTCCTAGAGCAGCACGAGTTAATCAAGAAGCAGCTAAGACCATCAAATTATTTGGACAAATTATTAAGTTGTTTGGACCAACTACCAAACAAATTAAATGGCTTAGAAGCACAGAGAAGTAACAAGACATCAAGGGCAACACAAATAAACCTCCATTCTTTTAGTAAAATAAAGAGGTGAAAACGGTTCTTAAATATGACTGTGCTCCCCCCAAGTAAGAACTTTCCTCAGATGTAGTACCATTTTTGCACATTTTTCCTTTTCAAATAAAATATTTTCTCCTCATACAAATAACTTCAAACAAAGCCAACATTTATTGCCTCCGTTACAAATTTTAGGGCCCTAGCACTCCATTTTTTGTGTGGTAGGACACAACATTAAGCAGTGTTTAAGCTATAATAAAACTGAACTCCAAGACTACATAATTTTTTGATTGGGGGTGGGCACATACTTTTTGCCAAACTCCAATTTCTAATTCTATTAACACCAGCTCCTTAGTAGACTACTTAGCACGGTGTGAACTGTTTATGAGGTAGATATTAAATCTAAAAAAAGGTAATAATGTTTACTTGCGGTTTATATCAATTTATTACACAGTATAAAAAGTTCTACAAAGATCTTAACATAAACACTCTAGCAATAAAGGGTGTCTGCACGTGAAGAGTAACTGTGGCACAAAATATCTACAAAAGCACATTTTACTTGTCTCTGGAATGTGACTGGGAGGGCGAGGGGGAAGCATTTTGCTCAAGGTAAGGCTAAAAATTGGTATCTTCCTGGAAAATTGAACAGTTTAAAGGAGTACTAAGTATGTATCAATTTTAAATCACTGCAAATCCACACGGCAAATCAAAAAGTTTGGTATTTCTATAAGCAAGCTAACATTCAACACAATTTTCAATTTAAGCTCTCATAAAAAAGATACAACATTTCTAAGGACAAGGTCTAAGCCACCCATCCATATGGGGTAATCACTAATCACTCAAGATCCTAAAATGATAGACCCTTTCAAAAGGATTAAAACTGAGGAAATATTTTCCAAGAGAATTTTAACTTAGCTATCTAATACTAGCTTGCACAGAGCGATTTACCTTGTCTAATTTTCATTGCCTTCTAGTTAAAGTCTAACTGAATATAAAAACAAGGAAGAAAAAAAAAAGAGGACCTGATGCCAGGCGGAGGGGGGTTTAAGTGGAGAGCAAATGTCTTGACAATGATGAGGGCAATGAATGTACAAACGTGCTTTACACAATTGATGTATGTATAGAGTCATATGAGCCCCTAATAAAACTATTTTTAAAAAGGGGGGGGGGGGAAATCCAGTTGCCAGGTTACAGTGGTTAAGAAAGCAAAGCTGAACAAAGGCCATCATCACTCTTCCCTAACCTATCAAATACACATTTGAAAGAGAAAATAACTGCATTCCACATGCTCATCATGACCATTTGTTTTAGGAGCTAAAGACTCCTCAGTACTATAAGGTAGATTTCAATGTCAGAGTCAGTCCCTGTAAGTCTCGGGACAACTTACCCACACCTTGGCAAGGTGAAGTTTGGGCAGGCATTTAATGCTGGAGGGCAGCGCTAAAATCTCAAGGTAGAACAGAAACTTAACACCTTTGTAAGTCTCTTGATAAAACTTTTGGATTGTAAAACTTGAAAGAATTTTAACTAGGAAATCACCAGGTTTTAATTAGGCTTTCAACTAAAGAAAAGCACAGCCCCAGATACTCAGCACTCAATGTAAACTTTTAAAAATCCTTTAACTTTTAAACAGTTTCTTACAAGACAACAGGCACCAAATTAAAATCCATAGGACTAAATGACCCTATTAAAGGTCTCTTCCTACACAACTCACGTATTCTTTTTACAAATTCACTACTTCAGTAAGATCCCCAGAAAAAATTAAAAAAATTTTTAAAGATGATTTATCTAGTTTCTCCAAAAGCCTCACTTGATGGGAGCAGCCTTGTAAGACAGCCTAATCCAATGGGTCTTTTAAAATTATTATTGACCCAGGGGTTGGGGGATGAACAACAGAAATGTGGGTGAAGGGAGACAGCGGATGGGGTGTAATATGAAAGTAAAATTAATTTATAAATTGTCAAAGGTTCACAAGGGAGGGAGGGGGGAAAAGAGCTCATACCAAGGCCTCAAGTAGAAAGAAATTGTTTTGGAAATGATGATGGCAACATATGTGCAAATGTGCTTGATATAATTGATGTATGGATTGTTATAAGAGCTGTTAGAAAAAAAATTGTTAAGCTGTAAGCTCCCCCCAATAAAATGATCTATTAATTAAAAAAAAATAATAAAAATAAAATAAAATTATTATTGATTACTACACTTTCATCTGAGTTTTTAATCTATGTACATAGCAGGAATGTTTATCTTACTTTAATGCTATACCATTAAAAAGATGTCATTTCTTCATGAAAAGCAGTGTATTTGGCTACATTAAAAATTGGTGCTACTAAATAGGGAGTAACAGGAAGAATGCAGCATAAAACAGAAAGCCTAAATTTTGGGTCATTTAAAACAAAATGCACTGCACCAGATTAGGCTGGACGACTGATCTACATTAAATTTAGCACCAATCTTACTCTACCTCCCAGAATAACACATTTGGAATATAAATTTCAACTGGAAAGGCAAAACTTGTTTTACACATATTCAAATTTCCTATTGGATACCAACATGTGTGTGAAAATCTCCGTAACGGTAACATTCTCCCTTACAATAACACGTCTTTTTCCTGAAGCGTGTTGCCGGTCCTATCAACTGGCTATAGTGTATCCCTTATTTATCCGTTTAGATTTCTGACCCAATATATTCATCTAATACCAAGATATTTCTGTTACTGAGTAAAACCTTAAAATTTAACGTTACCAAGGACCTTATCTAAAAATATGCTCGATACAATTGATGTATGGATTGTTTTAAGAGTTGTAAGAGCCCCCAATAAAATGATCTTTTAAATTTTATTTTGTGCTCAATATATGAATTTTTCAGTGTGTGTGGGTGTATAGGCAAGGGAGCCAAAACTGTGTCTTTTTTAAAGATTAGGAGTGAAATACATTTCCTTACCATTGTTTGTTCTCCACACATCACTTTTAGTGGGCAGTTAGTACCCTCAGACACTACAAAACCCGTAGTTCTGTCATCTACAAAAGTTAAGACTTTTCTGGGCTACGCATGGTCTGTTAGTGCCAGTGCCCCAAAGGCTCGTTCCATTAAAAAAATCACCAAGTCTTTTCTTGATTATAAGGGAACGAAGGTAGACAAAGAATCTGGTCACCTCCACGTACAGACCCAAGATTTAAATAAGGAGGCAACTATGCACTATCTACGCCTTACATAAACTGTGACTGGATTAGAGACCTCATCTGCAGTTTAATGTGGCACACACAAAATGTCCACATGTCTCTTTCGGACCGACACGTGCAAGACTACCTGCTTCAATGGTAACTCCGCGTCGCTGCCGGGGTCACGGCCGGATTTGGGCAACCTTCATTCCCTTGGAGAGACTGGAGTTAAGGGGAAACTTGGGAGGGCTCATATTCAAGCAATCAAGGCACACGCGGGGGAAGGGCGCTGTGACGTCGGTGTGGCCTCGCTCGAGTTGCCTAGCAGTGACCTGTCGCTCATGGCGGAGGGCCGCGTGGTGCGCGGGGAGAAGGCACGCTCCGTCTTCGGGGAGCACCCACCACAGGTGTCCTTGGCCCCAGGCCTGGCCCCGGCCTCGCGGGGCGGGAAACCCGGCCCGCTCAAGAAGCCGAGCGGGGCCCGCGCCTCCGGGGCGAGCGCATGGCCAAAGGCTCACAGATCCGGGCCTACAGCTAAGTTACGGGGAGTCCCCGGGTAATCCGGGCCCGCCAGCGGGACAAAGTGGTCTTTCCAGCACCGAGAAGCTGAGGGACGGCTTAGAGGTGCGGAAAGAGGCCATCTGGAGGAAATATGTCCTCCAGCCGCCAACGGTAACCGGAACCAGGGCAGTGGACCTCCCACCCGCGGGCTGGAACGACTGGCCCCCCCGGCCGGGGAGGAAGCGAAGGCGGCCCAAGGCGGGGAGGCCAGAGGGCCGAGGGCGGCTTCCCGCGCCCCCAGCGCGGCCTCGGCCTCCCCGGGAGCCGACCTTCCTTCGGCGGGTGTCGCACTCACATTGTGAACGGGGCAGGGGGACGGGCGAGCGAGTGGGCGGGCCTCTCCGGCGGCAGCGGCTGGGGAATGGACTCCTCTCCGGTGGCGAATCCGGGGTTTTCTCCCCGGTCGCGGCCTCCTCTCGCTTTCCTCAGGCGACGGCGGCGGCGGCGGCGGGCTCGGCCTGGATGCCCAGAATGCACCGCGCGGAGAGAGCGGCTCCTCCGGTCGGAGAGAGGAGGAAAGTGTAGGAAAAGGGGCGCGCGGACAGAGAATGAGCGTGCGAGCGTGCAAGCGTGCGTGCGTGCGTGCGAACGCGCGAGCGAGCGAGGGGTGGTGAGACCGGGCGGCGGCTGGTGACGCAGCAAAATACCCGGGCCCCGCCGCCGCGCGTGCGCAGTTTGCGCCTCCAGGCTCCTGCGCGGCTTTCTAGAGCTCTCTACGGAAAAGGCGGAGCCTCCCGGCTCCTTCGCGATCCTTCCCGGAGCCGGCCCCGCCCTTCGCCCCTTCCCCGCGCCGCGCTCCTTCCCGCCTCTCTCTCCTCGCTCCCACCTCGAGGTAGAAAACCGTTGGCCGCCTAACCGCCCGGTCGCGCGCCCTGAGGCAGCTCCCGGAGAAACGGGTTCCTCCGTAGTGAGAGGAAGGCCGAGGCGGAGGGTCGCAGAGGCGGGAAACCGGAGAAGCGAAATGAACCTGGAAACTGGATGACGTACTCCATCGCAAAGACGATGTGAAAAGTCTCCGCTGCTGGTGGTATTGGGGAAAGTTTTGGAAAGGAGCTAACCTAGACATCGAGGACGTAGGCCTGCTTCCCATTTTTCTGGAAGCCATGCCCAGGGAAGGCAGAAATTCGAGGCTTGGGACCCGATTTTCCCCTGCTTTGAGATAAAGCGGGCTGTAGGAAGGTGAGACAGGCTAGGCTAGGTATTGGGTGTGTGTGTGTGAGGGGGGCGGTCTTAAGTTTCTCAAAACCTAAAGACTAGGGCCGAGGGAGGGGGAAGAATGAGGAGCCGATATTAGGGGCTCAAGTAGAAAGCCAATGTTTTGAGAATGATGATGGCAACAAATGTACATATGTGCTTAACACAATTGATGTATGTATGGATTGTGATAAGAGTTGTACAAGCCCCCAATAAAATGATTTTTTTTAAAAAGACGAGGGCCACTTTGCACAAATCACCTGGCTAGGCTCTACCGGAAGATAACTAAACACTAAACGTTGGCGTAACATCACATAACAGAATAAGGGAGAAGCACACCAATGCACTACTAGTTAAAACACAAAGGAAGTTCAAGTCAAACACTGGCACACACGGCTAAAAATAAGTTATCTATGATAGTGTATGTGGTGAAAGCAGGCTTTGGGAACTACAGACAATGAACCTTATCTCAGATCCCATTAGAAAGAGATCCCTGATAATTTAATACTCCTTCTCAAGGAAGACAAAATACATAAATATATACACTGCACTGGCGAAATACACATTCCTCAAGGTTTTTTTTTAATGCTTACCCTCTCCTCTCCCCTGCGCGCACACACACATAATCGTCCCATTTCTATCGTACAAATCCAGCTAGACCGGAGCATGTACACTGATACAGATAAGAGCTCTCGACACACAGAATCCAGGACAGATACACCCCTCCTCGGGAACAATAATGGGAGTATCAATACCATGAAGTTGGGGGGAGAATGGGGGACCTGATTGTAGGTCTACCCCGACTGCCATGATCCCAATCAACTGAAGGACAGTCAAGTGTGTCTCCTTAAAGTTGATTTCAACTCAGTGACCTGATAGGGACACTAGAATAGTCCCCATAGGGTTTCCAAAGCTGCAAATCTTGGGAAGCAGAGGGCAGCATCTTCTGCTGAGTGGCTGGTGGGCTCGAACCACCAACCTTTCAGTTAGCAGCTGAGCACGTAAATCACTGACAGGGCGATGAATGTACAAATGTGCTTTACACAACTGATGTGCTTATGGATTGTGATAAGAGTTGTATGAGCCCCTAATAAAACGATTAAAAAAAATAATCACTGACAAAGCCATAAAAACTGCCATTGAGTCGATGGGGACCTGTAATCACTGCCAGGCCACTCCCGAAACAAAACCTGTAAGATATTTCTGATTCCTGGAAACCCTATTATAGTATATAATGGAAGCACAGAAATAGAGCACAAAAGGAGGAGACATTCATTTTGGCTCAAAGGATTAGAGCAGGACTGATTAAGAAAATATAATCCAAAAGTGGGAAATAAATCAAGGGAGGAATGACTGGCCTTTCAGTTCATACTGGGACATTATTTAATCTGCCTGCCCAAATATATAATAATCTAGGTGAAGGTACCTGTGGTTGACATAGTGAAGTACGTTTCTAATAGAAAACCTAACCCTAAAGTAAGATTTTAATGCTCTGTAGGTTACTAATCAGTTTTGTTTAGCTTACCAATCTTAGTTGTAATTGTTTATTTTGTTCCTATAACTCCTGGCTTCCCTAAATGCTCCTGGAACCAACTCTACCATTTTACTGATTCTATCAATAAGTTAAATATTTTACTTATATTCATTTTAATTTATATTTATGGAAGGGTTATGATAGGTTGGTAGGATGGGGGAGGGGGGGGAATAAAGAGGAACTGATATCAAAGAGCTCACGTAAGAAATGTTTAGAAAATGATGATGGCAGCAGGTGTACAAGTTGGCTTGATATAATTCATTTATGGATTGTTGTAATATCTGTAAGAGCTCCTAATAAAATGGCCAATAAAATAATAAGTCAGGATAAAAAAACGTTATGTTTTGGGGCTTTTGAAAAATTATGCTTTGACATAATTTGCCAGAAATCAATCAAAGGCAAACTTGAAGAACAGAGAGCAGAAAGAGTGAAATGGTTACTAACAGAGGCTGCAGATTTAAGCACATCCTTGCTTATTTTTAAAAGTACTAGATCTTATTGTTGAAATCATGACTCTTTAAGGTATGATCATTCTACTGGACTACTGCAAGGATGGTGTGAGCCATATATGACTTTAAGACTCGTTTAGAAATAGAAAAATGGTAACTCATTTGGCAACTTTTGGATCATTCTAACTGGTTGCTCCTTTTCATCCATACAACAACAGAACTTAGACAAATGAGACGGATGTTATGTTGAGCTCTTCATTGATTTTAATTTTTATTTTGGGGGGGCACAGCCATGTCATTTAGGTTGTCTGAAAATTTTAAAAAAAGGCATTTAACTCATTTGACAGAATGCCTCTTAGTTGAATATATTTAAACTAAATTCATAATAATATACCTGGAGAAGCTAGAGCCAAATTGTAGATCACTACAATATTAGCATGTGTGATATTATCTCAGATAGCTTCTACAGTTAAACTATTTCTGAGACTGGAATATATAAGATAATAAGAAACTTGTGGGTTGAAATAAAGGGAGGGGGGAGGGAGGGGGGAAAATGAGCTGACACCAGGGGCTCAAGTGGAAAGTGGGTGTCGTAAGAATGATGAAATCAACATATGTACTAAAGTGCTGGACACAGATGATGTATTTACAGATTGTTATGAGTTGTATGAGCCCCTAATAAAATGATTATTAAAAAAAAAAAAGGGAGATCCCATGTTCATAGCAGTACCAACATTTGAAGTGAATCCTTACGTATTTTGTGATTTACAAATGGAAATTTTTAACACTGGAAGAGATTGTCAAAAGAAGAAAAAGAAACTAATATAATTAGGAAGACAAGTCACAAGCAAATAATGGTGGCATTGGATTGAATATTAAGCTAGTTGATTTAAATAATTTATTGAAACTTTTTAAATAAAAGAGCAATACTTCTGTTTTCTAAAATGATTGATAAAGTACAAAATGAACTGAAAATGGAGGAACTGAATTAAAGATAGCAAAAGACTCCAATAAAAAGAAATGCTCATTTTAAACAGTGATGCTAGTTATACAACATGAACAACACGAACATAATGTCACTGAATTGCACGTATAAAAATTTTGAAATGGCAAATGTTAAATGTATTTTACCACAATTGAAAAAAATTATGTGGGAAAAACTGCTTTTCACATAATACAGACCCAGTACCTCCTAATTCATGGCAAATTTACTACTTTTATTATTTTCTTTGTGTCATTCATTTCTAAAAAGAGACTTCTAAAAAAAGAGAGAGAGAGAGAGAGAGAGAGAGAGAGACTTCTGCTACCACAACAACAAACCACTAAGAACCTAATTTTTTCTAGGTTTTTCAAATAGACCAGCAAGTTAGTTTCTAATGGTCAAAATCTAAGTTCAGACATGAATTGTTAATAGCATCAGGACTTTGGGCAGAGAAAAGTAGTAGGTGGTATTTCACAAGTTTAATCCTAACAGTCTGGGACATATGTTTCCAAACTTATTTGACCTATTGCAATCCATTTTTTAAAAATTACCCCTTGAATTTGACAATTTAAAACTTTTGTATTATAACCCATAATCCAGGATAAAGTGTCAGAACTCACTGCCATCAAGTTGACTTCCGACACAATGATCTTATAGGACAGGGTAGAACTGCCCCCATGGGTTTCCAAGATTATAATTTTTATTTTAAGAAGACTATAATTCCTTACAGGAATAGAAGAAAAAAAAAAGGCTCATTCTCCCATGAAGCAGCAAGTAGTTTTGAACTGCTGACCTTGTGGTTTGCAGCCAAATGTTTTAAGTGTGGATAACTGCTTTTGCAGCCCACCTGGATCCATCCAGTACCCCCTTTGGGGCTGTATTACTCATTTTCAAAATCACATTTTCAGGGTGGTTTTTAAATTTTGTTAAATGAGCAAAGGAACATTTTGTCATTTACAATTCTAGCATTCATTTTTCTCTGAGGATGGTATTTATGTATTTTTCAAAAGTAGATTGCCCGTGTAAAAATGTGCACACACAGCACACAAATGACAAAATATGTTTAAAAGTTCTGGTTTGGTGCATCCATGCGTACAATGTGCATGTTTTCTGACATTTCTGTGAATCTCAGCCTCATTCCCTCATTCAATAGCCTTAAAATGTTGCTTTTGATCATATTTGTATAATGGTGTAAACCATGGTGGTTAAGAAGTTATGGATTAAAAAAGGGGTTGGATTTAGTAGTATGCCTCAGTAGGTGGAAAATTAACAATGACTGTACATTGGTTTAAATTAATAATTTTATCCCTGTCACTTCTTTGTCAGTTAATCATGCTATGTTTATTTCAGAGATCCCTTCCTTTAATACCACCTAGATAACTTCACCCGCCATTTGTTTGGCAGCCAGCCTCTTGTCTCTCTCTTCAGCAATGATGA